CGAGAGAGAGAGAGAGATAGAGAGAGGGCCAGCCAAACTCCTCACCTGACAATCGCTTTCGCTTGGATCAGACAGGCCGTAAGGATCTGCACCTTAGATCGAGAGAGAGAGAGAGAAAGAGAGAGAAGGGGGGCGGGGGTATGTGGTGCGGGCATTACAGAGTTGACCTCTATACATTACACCGATTTATGTAGACGCGTAGATCGATGACATGACATCGTAGCTAACCCCATGCACGAGTGCGCGCGCGCACGAGAGAGAGAGAGAGAGAGAGAGTGTGACTTACCTTCGACCACCTTTGCGCCCGCTTCGCTCAAGTGCAAGCGACGACGATCTTATCAATCCGCTTCTTCTCACTCTCCATCCACGTCAAAGCTTTATATAAGACTCCCCTTTTTCGCCGCACGCACCCTCCTTTCGCCAACCCTGCCTTGGGCAAGGCCCACTTCCTGACTCCTACCTCGGTGTCTACCACTCAGAAACAAACAAACAAACAAACAAACAAACAAAAAAACAAAAAAAACAAAAGAGGACAATCACCCCTCCACCTGGGATGGCCTGACCGGACAGTGGTCGCAGGCGGTAGCCCTAAGCAGGATCTCCCATACACTTCAGCCCTGGTTGAAACATGTGGGTCAGGTAGTTCTAGTGGGTCAGGTAGTTCTAGTGGGTCAGGTAGTTCTAGTGGGCTCCGGAGTCCACTCAGGTCAGTAAATGTCAGTTCAGCCAAAGCATTACCCCTTTACAGGGTAAGAGGCCTTCGGTTCGGACCTGGGCAAGGTAGCAGAAGTGGCAAGCAACCCTGAAAAGGGGCAGTTGCAGGCTTGCGAGCCTTGGAGAGTAGCTTCGTCCACTGAGGCTGGCCGCTAGAAACTTGTGGGGTACCGGTAGCACAGGTTAATTAGGGCTACCGGTAGCAAAATGTGGAGAACCGCCGGAGTGGCAAAATTTTTGTGGTTGCCTTTTGGGCATGGTCTTTTGCAACTGGGCCTTGGAAAGTTGCCAAGTTAGGGGTATTTTACAAAGTTGGATGGTACCCGGTAGGGGTATATCACAAAGATGGGGAGTCCAACAGACACAAGGGGTATTTTCACAATTTTTTCTTTTTGTCAGAGGGGCATTCCGCTCTACCAACATCTTTCAGGGGCATTTTTGGACAATCTCAACTTATGGGGGTAGATTGGGAAAGCATTCAGGAGCCCATGACCGCCTGCGGCGCACTTGGGGTCTACGACCAACACGGATGTGGGTGTGAGTGTGAGTGTGAGTGTGAGTGTGAGTGAGTTTTGTGTGGTGTGTGGGAGAGAGTTGGCCATAGCCACTGCTGCTACTCGATGCGGGGTGAGGGAAGTAGATGGGAGGCGCAACTAGTGGCAAAATGCTCGGTCTTTGCGTTAGCCGCCCCCCCACCCCACCCCACCCCTGTGGTCCCAACCTACACCTTGATCACGGCCGATTAGGACGGGGGGCAACATGCATCCCCACCACTCTACCCGACACCGAAAAATAGCATTCCGGTGAGTTCGGAGGGGAAGGCGCCGATCGGCGGGCGCAAGCGGGTCCGGTCATGCAATTTTCAAGCACCAAATTTTGGCGATTTTTTGCGCTCATAAAAATAAAGAAAAAAATTTGAACATTCGAGATCATGTAGATTAGGCGTGATCTTTCCAGGACAAATAATCATTTAGCCCATGAAATAAATGTCGCGCCAATTGGTCAGATTTTCTATTTTTATCACTCTACAACTTGTGGGCCAATGGGAAAAATACCCCAATTTCATTGATTTTGACGCTCAGACGTCACGACAACAATTCGTCACATTTTCCATTATTGTTGTTGTGCCGGTTGTCCACACTATGCTACCGGTAGCCTCATGAACTTGTGCTACCGGTCCCCCGAATTTCCAACATCGGGTACAGTGGTGGTTGTGAGAGGTAACTACCAATATAAGCTTAGGAGTAGTGGTTGAGAAGCGAAACTGGGAGAAAAATATAGCATAGTTTGAAAGGGAAAAAAAATAAATCGCAATTGCAGTTTGACAACCACCACTTGTTATGCCATGCAAAAGTATACACGCACACAAAGCATAGAGTCTTCAAGTTGTATTTATTATCACCTTGACTCGAAAAAAAAACACGTTAAACCACCAGTAATTCCTAAAGTCGTGTCCGTTCACAAACCTCGAATTTAGGTAATGTACGAGCCACTACAAGAGCGCCCAAATTCATCCGACTAAAAACGTTTCTACTCTATTTTTTTCCACGACCTATAGTTGGGCCAAGTACTACTGGTTTAAGAGTGACCGTTAACAATGCTACCATGGTAATCATGCGATGATCAATAAGAGCCCAGATCACGCCAACGTCCTTGCGGACAGAAGGACCTGTGTCAACTTCCTAACTTATACTGTTCGATATATCCTTTTCTCATCAACTTCAAGTTTGATGTTGGATGAAAAAGTTATAGGTCCTTGCAGACAGAAGGACCTATGTCAACTTTCTAACTTATACTGTTCGATATATCCTTCTCTCATCAACTACAAGTTTTATGTTGGATGGAAAAGTTATAGCCCATTCTGATTCAGAACTTTCAGTCAAACAAACAGACCTACACCTATTCACACAATTTGACACTACTCGACTTGGAAACCTTGTAGCGTACCCAACAACAACAAAATTTGGTCTACAAAATGACCCCAATCAGCACATAGGATTGAGCCCACACATACCTCATTACCTCAAACAATCCTTCCATCCACCACAGTCATAGATCGAATCCTAGTAATCCTACTACACCCTTTCTTTTGTCCTACATTCGCACAACCAACAAAAAGTCACACAAGGTACTACTAGTAACAAGTTATATTTGGATCCACGATCGGCTCTATATCATTCTATGGTTCAGTCTATTATACAACATAATACCAACATAAAGGGTATTCCCCAATTCAACCAAAGCACACAAACCTCACATTCCCAAGTACCATTATCTGTATTATCTTGCAAGCGTACTCTACTATATTACAGTCAACAGATCAGCATATTGTTTATTATCAAAACAACCAGGAACTTCCAGACTTAGCCCTTGCCTCTGGAGAAGCTTCTATGGAATCTTCCAAACCAATGCTCCGGGTAAATTCCTCTTCTCAGTTTCGTCTTATGGAGCACCAACGTGATAACAATCTGCAGGCATACAACGAGATTCTGACAAATTGTATGGAGTGCACTAATGATCACCGTTGTCAGGACAGAAACCCTGACAAGGGTATCTGCCCTGTATTTTCAATGCCAGACGATGACCGAATTCTGATGTAAGTCCTATAAGAATTAGTATGATAAAATAGAAATACTGCTGAAATGTTCTGAATCGTCCGCGATTTGAATAAAATTTATGCAACCGTCCATCTACCGACAGACATAACGGCAAGGGTAGACGACATAGACAAACGCTCTGACAAGGCCGAAGAGAAAGATGGCGGTGAAAACACTAAAATAAAATATTATTTTTACTAAAATTTGGTCGCACGACTGTTAAGCCGCACGATTCAGGACCAGAAGAACCAAAAATTAGTCGTGTCAAGGCTACGGCGACAATAAGAAGGGCTAACACAGCTAAAGTGCCCTGTCACTTCAAAGAGAACGCACCGACAGGGGTCCAAGGGCGAATCCACGAACAAAAAGGGTGGATTGCTTGGCCTACTGGGCCAAACCCAGTTGGCCACGTGACGGTGAGGCCTGCCCTTGGAAGGGATAGGCAGACTGCACCTGCCTAGCCAGGAATGCAGGCAGCCTACTGGGCGGCAACCCTTCAAATAGAAGGGCGGCTGGTATAGCTCCTGTGCTAGGAGCTAGCCCAGTAGGTACAACATTCGATTTCCACCCAACTGATGTTGAGATCGAGCCTCATGATACTCTACTTGGGCTAGCTCCTTTTTGGAGTTGCCCACTACATGAGCATGAAGCGCGGTCATTTTCGGTCGCGAGATCGTTAGATCTCACGACCTAAAACGGTCGCGCGATTGCAGCATGGCCCCTGCGCAAGGATGACACGCACAAATCGAAAAACGGCCAAAAACAAAATTTCGATTCCTTAAGGAATCGAACTCGGGCCCGTGCATCGGCAGGAGAAGGGGGGGGGGAATGCCAACAAGGCTGGCACAGGCTGCAGTGGCCGTTGGCTTATGCCAACGGTAATTCTGTAAAAAAAAAACACTATGACCTAACGCGCCAGATGGCGCAGAAGGATGTGACTAGGGACATGCAGTCCCCAGAGAGGACAACCGACGCCCGTTTTTCTCTGGATGAAGTAAGTTTTTTTTTTTTTTTTTTTTTTTTTTTTTTTTTTTTTTTTTTTTTTTTTTTTTTTTTTTTTTTTTTTTTTTTT